ACTAGTTTGACTCACCTATGTAGGTAGTTGTCCTAACTCACAGCGATTGCATGGTGTTTTGTAAATTATATTATTTTGTTTAATTGGGTCAACCTACAGGGTCCGTCAATCTACCTACAGAGCTTGTCCTATTCGTGAGTGAGTATGTAGGTTTAAATGTCACCTCCACGCTAATTCCTGCTTTATTGAGAATCCTACGCTTGGAGGGTGTCAGATGTCTCCTCTCTCCTTATGTAATAAAACTACTGCAGATGTCTTATATTCTCTCTCATTTATGTTATCATTATTAGTTTCACCATTATTTTTGTTTCGCTAACTCAGATGGGACAAGCTCTGTAAGCTAAAGGATCAGTTGAACGCAATTAAACAAAATAATATAATTTACAAAATACCTTGCAATGACTGTGAGTTAGGTAAATCGCTTACATACGTCAAACTAGTAGATCAGGAGTAGTGACTGATCCCACGAAGAGAAGTAATTTAGAAGTCAGCTCAGCACTACAATGCACTGCATGCATCTACACACAACCACTTACTAGTGTGGGTGGGACAGAGTCAGAATTCTAAACATTAATATAGATAGGTGGAGATAAAGAGAGAGGTTGATTACTTACTGAATCCTGCCTAGTTCATCCAGTTTACTCACCCAATACAACACAACACATGCAATAGCAGTGACTCATCATCATCACCAGCTAATACTAGAGACATGGAAGATATTATTACCGCCAGTCAGTCAGTCAAATCATAGCACGCTAATAGATAATCTTAGAATGTATTCTATTTCAATTCAATTCATATGCACATTATAACATTCTAACAACAAGTTATTTATTTATTTTACTATAAAAACACTCGTCTTATTTCCCTTCCCTTCTTATCCCATCATCTGATTGTATTTGACTGACTGATTGATTGATTGATAACACTAATATCACCATTATTATTATTATTTCCGAATGTACTTTCTTCTCATCTTATATTACCGATTGATTTTATACAATCAAATGTTGTCTAATCATCATCAATTTTTACTTATGCATGTATATAAATGAGGAAGCAAGAAAGTGAGTAGTGTGTGTGGCGTGATATGATTATGAGCAGCAATAATTTGTGCGCGAAACGTGTGACGCTTTATCAAAATAAAATCTTATATATAATGGAGTTACAGTTCATGTCCCTTTTGAAATTCGAACCCTGAGTCACCCAGTGAGCACTGCAGTGAGTCAGAGGACTTAGCACCACTAAGCTGTTCGGTCTGGCCATTGGCCTTCTGTAAGACTGACTGTATTGGATATTTTTGTTTGATTGGACACTAGTCATTAACTAGTTTTGTAATTTGTCTGGCTAGTCCTTGGTGTTGGTGAAGACTAAATTCTGTCAGTCACTGAGGTTTGCTTTCACACTTCATGTAGACAGCTGAAATTCCAAGCATTCAGCTTTCTCTGAAGAAGAAGAAGCACCAACCATGATAATAATTGAATTAACAGGCGAGAAGATGCTGTTTGTTTTTTTCAGCACCAGCCTACCACCTGCTCCTTATTTGTTTTCGAAGACATCTGTAATAATAATAATAATAATACGCCACCAGTGACTCCCACGAGTTATCCGTGTAACATTATTTATAGGCACACCAAAAAAACCACCTGACATCTGACAGACAGGTGAGGATTTATCCTCCACACATTTTCTTTTCTTTTTATTTATTCAGCATTTTTAGGTGGATCAGAATCAAGTTTGATTGGTTGGAGGATTTCATCATAAGCTGACGTCAGTCAGAGAACCACCATTAGCGTCGGTCTAATTTCGGACTGGCTCTTCATCAGTATGCACTCTCTATGGGGTGTTCGAACCAAGGACCTTCTGGCTACTAGGTAAGCGAGCTAGCTCGTAGACCATTAAGCAGCTACTCACTGGGACCCAATCCCATCCAATGGCCAGCCAGTCCATGAATCCTAACTTCTGCCAATCCACTCACGACATAGCGCGACCACCAGCCAATGTCTTCTTCGATGAGTTACTGCCTCATCTTCAACCTGCTATACCCTAATAGTCACGGATTACCACTAGAACCCCAGATAACTACATACCTGAATGTGTCCAGTCACTAGTAAGCATCGAATCAATTTCCAAATACTTGAAAATCAAGTTTATGATAAGTGTTAAAACCTAAATGTCTTTAAAATTATCAGAAAAAAGACGTAAACAGAGAAGAAAATTCGCTTTCGACGATTCATTGTCATAAGATAATAAAAAGAAGCAAAATTATAGTGAGAAGGTTACTCTAGCTACGGAATGGTGGTGAGTGAATGTATGTAGAGCTTTTGAATACAGAGTTCCTGTTGCAGATCCCGAATAGCTAATCCTTCATCTGTGTACAGATGGCGTATGTGAAGTGAGCCCTTTCGTACAATATTGAGGGACTCTGTGTAGCACTGTGAAGCATTCATGCAATTTGAGGTGCTCGTGTTTCGGAGATGACAAGTTGTTCCAGTATGGAGCTGCTACTATTCGTCTGGCTAGCTAACCAAACTGGACAATGTTCCAGAATACGTTTGTGGACATGACGTTGAGTATGGCCACTATACTTCGCAACACACGAACAAGTAAGCTATTAAACACATATTGAGATGGCCAAAAGTGGCGGAATCTTCTCCTTAACCTAAGACTTGGTTAACTATCTCCTTGAGAGTGTCATAAGTAAGACGTCTGCTTGAAATGTCTTTTTCAGACATTTAGAAAGACGGTTTTTAAGAATTCCTGCTTCACTGTCACCTTTGACTTCCAGGTTCATGGAGAGAGTTTTCTTTATTTATTTATACATTTTATATTACTTATGAGTAAATTAAAGCTTTGCAAAACATTTGTGAGCAAAAAGGTAGGTGTCACACCAACTAATACACAGTGAACAAAAATTAAAAATTATTATTGATGATAGTAATTTACTTATTCATAGACTTAAAATCAACAGTAACCATGCAGTCAAAAATCAACGAAAAGTACAAAATGATGATAATGATAATGATGATACGAGATAAAGCAAGAAGAAGAAGTAATTTGTCTGAATCGTGTATTCTGTGTATTTACGTGCAACACTTATTTCGAACAATTTAGAACACAAAATTAATTGTATATATTTGCGACTGTACAGCTAAGTGAATGAATTCGCCGAAAAGAGACTCTTCGCTGAACTAATTTGTTCTTATTTCAATGTCTTAATGGGTATATTTCGCGAATTAAAAATAAGCAAGGACCCTCTGACAGTGAAGGAACTGAATGGGTTTCTGCGATATTCTGTCAAGCTTGCGGAAGTTAATGCGAAAATCAGTTTTCTCAGAGACTGTATGAATAATCATGAATATCCCAAGTGGTATTGGAAAGCTCTACGTCGCAATCACATTTATCCGAACTCGAAATCCCTCAAGCGTCATACCCTGAACCATATTGATTCCATTATATCACGTGTGCCAGAACTCGAGAGGAACATAGCGCAACGATCCTCTGCGTTACACGAATTGTCTTGTGATGAACGACAAGCATTTACCGACTATGTCACTCTGGTTACGGAGAAGCGTACACAAGCCATCCATTCTAACTTACTGAAAAGTCTCAAAGCTACAGAAACACGACGCAAGTTTCCAGAAGATCCCACCAAATTTGTGTTCATTTATTCTTCAGTAACGTTATCTCCCATACAATTGGAGGCCTTGTCTGTCGGGCCAAGATTTTGCG